AAATATTCATCATTTTTATTCATTATCAGTCTATGTAACTCTTCTTCCTGTTTATTTATGAACGTGTGTGTACATAGATTGAAATGGAGTTTCTAGTATATTCAAGATAGTGTATAACTAATAATGTATATAAGCAATTTCCTACTTGTAGTTACTAACCATGCAAAAAATTTTATTTTAAAACTTTGTTTCGTTGTGGGGGGAAATGTGACGGAGTTTAGTTTAAATTGTAGGTTATTTTCGTTACGAATTGATCTCATTTTGATACCAGTGAGTACTGAATAACTGTTTTGTCTTATCAGAGGACCAAGTCAAAGATCGAACCCAGGACATACAGGTTTCACAGTGAACATTTAAATATGAGAAACACTGGTAAAATTTCAACTTTAGTCAACTTGTAATATAGTGCAAAGACCATCCAGTGTCATATGTGATAACTGTTTCACTATCAATATGTTTGTCCAGTGTTGCTTAATTTTGAACAGTACCCTAATTGAGATCAGTCTGTGGCGAATACAGCCTAAAATATGCTTTTTTTCACTTGGAAAATAATCTTAACGATAAGTTGATATCACTTGAAAAAAAACCAGTCATTGAATAGTATATATTCGTTACACGTTACTACTTTTCAACCTTGTATACTTGCATCTTTATTCAGAAACGAACTATGTCTTATGAACTAAGTAAATTTAGACATTGAGTTAGTGATTGTAAACATCCAATGTTTCAGTTCTGTAACTTCAGTTAGTTTACTATATATCACTATCATTATTATGCTATTTTGTAGTTGTTCCCAATTAATTAATTATTTATATCGGAATAATTAGCTTCTCATCAACTGGAGATGTTAGTAGTGTTATGCTGTCGAAGGTCATTGGTGGCAAACTTTCCGCTTAAGGTTTTCTGCGATGTGGTTCAGTCCGAATAAGTGTATCTAAAATCTTAAGGAAACGATTGTAAGTAACTCGGTCTTACAGGAAGTAATTTGCTGTTTAAATGTCTTAGTGCCCAAGTCTTAGATTGCGAGTCTTAGTGACGTGGATTCGAATCCTATAGAAAGCGTCCATTCCCTCGGTATTGCAGGTGCGCTTTGATGATTGATACCGACTATCCTAAAACCTAGGTCGAGCAGAGTTCCCTGACGACCATCTCCAACCACATCAAATCTCAACATAGTGTACGTGATATCAAGTCACTGATACTGGTGAAGATACTGTCATTTGATCATTCGAATTCAATCAGCACTCAAGGGACTAGGGAAGAATGACATCGATCATTACCAAGTGTTCATTCAGTTGTTAATTTCGAAATTATGATCATGTAATATGATAATATCTAAGAGTTGAAAACGGTCTATAACTGACTTTTATGCTGAGTTTTATTAGTGATGAGAGGTTTGTGACGATGAGTTCAATTTGTAATTTAGTTTATTATCATAACATGACTTTACTTAGACAACCATTCACAAATATGATGCACAGAATACAATTCATTCGAAATGCTTAAACTGAACCCCCTGCCAAATGATGATCCTAGTCATGCCAAAGAAACTTTGTACAATAACAATGCACACAGAGTATAATCAAATATCATCTAAAGATCGCATTGGTCATTAATCATTGATCATTTGACTGTAGATGTTTTTTCTAACATTTTCAGTGCATAAAATAATAGATTATTAAACATGTTTATTGATTTTTGATTACTTCTTAAGAAAGAAACATTTTACAGTCTTTACACGGTATTTAAAAGAAATCGATTTGCTTTCCGTGTAATTCTTTTTTACTTCAATGAAGTTTTATTGTGAAAGAACTAAGTATTGTTAAAAAAAGTATTATCAGTAGAATATAGATGTAAACGCAAAACTACCAGTTTGCTTACACCGATGACAGCTGACAAATTGCATAAGTGATATATTTTATACTGAATTTTCCAAGTCAAGATGTTTCAATACGGATTGTGATAAACAGTTCTAAGTATTCATATATATATTTACTTACTTACTTACTTACTTACGCCTGTTACTCCACCTGGAGTCCCTCCAGGGGCTCCTGCCGGTCTCAATCCCGGACAAAGGAAGAGGGTTTGGCATAGGGTTAGCGACCTCATCCCGTAGAAAACCAACTCGCTAAAAAAACGCTAACCAGAGAATATATATATAGTTGAAATATAATCATTTTACTCTTTAAATATACCTTATTATTTTGTAAAATCAAAGGACACATTATTAGTATTATTACTGATGTTGAATACCATGAAATTAGGCTATAATCCTAAAATACTGTCTTCATTATAAATCAGTAATAGTTCTGTTAAACCACTGCTTGTTAAATGACTATACGGATGTTGTTTTGTCTTTTCAATTGTTATTAAAGGTAATCAAGCTGTCATTATTATCAAAGAACAATGTTTTATCTAGTTTTCTCTCTAAGAATTCTGTTGGTGCTATTTTTATGATTTGTTAAATAAACAATAAATCTAGCACTGTATTTGGATGAGTTTCATAAAAATTGGTTTAATTTGTCAGTTGCATTTGCTAAAGATTGATGATAGCCATATACAACTAGTTAATTGAAGTTAAAATCGTATCATTAGACGCCGACTCAGTGGTTCTAATGGCTAAGGGTTTATCGAGAAACCTGAAGGTTCTCGATCCAATTACTGTGATGCGGTTTTGTGTGTGTGTGTGTACCACTAACGGCTTCATACTAGAATGACATAGCTATCCAATGCTCCTTGATTTTAATCAATGCATAAAGTGAGGTCATTATTCAACAAACACTGCCTACAGAATCAAACTAGTCACCGGTTTATCACTTTCCAGATAAAATTTGGTAAAAAAAAATAGATGAATGAGTTCACAACATACTGAATATTAATTTGTTGATATGTCCACTCGATAGTTTGAATCAGTCGAACATTTACAGAAAGAATTCACTTTCGTAACAAAATCTGTCATGATATATTTTTATATAATTATATTAGGTATATTAGGTATTAGGAAATGATGGTAAATCAGTTGATGAGGTTGTTAATCTTCATCGACTGAGATGGTTGGGCCACGTGTAACGTATGCCCGAACACCGATTACCACGACGTGCAATGCTATCCGGTGCTGGAGATGGTTGGAAGAAAGTTAGGGGCGGCCAAACCAAAACGTGGCATCAGTGCTTGAAGTCACTAACTTCTAGTCTGAGCCATGTTGGTAGATTCAGACTACTTGGTTGGGGTCCGCGTGACTATCGTAACCAATGGTTGGAGACTCTTGGTGACATGGCTCAGAATCGATCACAATGGCGTCGGTGTATACACTCCCTGTCTTCCCTTAAACTAAGAGATTAGAATCACTTCATATCTTTCTTTCTACGAACCAATTCTTTCTTCTTGTACTATATCTCTATATGCAATCTTTCTCTTATATATTACCACCTTTGACCTAACCACTGCTATGAATCCGGTGTTCATCTTGTTGTGCTGATGCGGTATGGAAACTTGGACCGATGCACATATGTGCCTGGTCCTACGTTGTAGCTGACTGACTGACTATATAATTATATTAATTGTTAGTAGAGTTCGACTTCAATTGCTTTATTGTTTAGTAAAGGTTACTTATAGTTAATATTTGATAAGTAATTTTTACATCCGATCAACTGTTGACTAGATAGTTTGTGTAATTATTTATGTTAAAAAAAATGATAATTACATAACCCAGAGATAAATTGAGACTTTTCAAACATCTGGTACTTAAAACTGGCCCTATACTCGGACACACTGTTCAACGTATACATTATCTGTCTGGTAAATATTTTTAAAAAAGATTGTATTTTTTTAATACACAGAATCAGAATTACAATTACAAAACAATGTGATGTACTAATATTAACTGAGTTTTATAATCAATAGAACAGGTAAATTGTTTGATCCCTGTAATCATCAAAAAGTACATATTTCATTTAGATTTAATACTTTATGGAAATCTCTAATCCATACAACTGTTTCCAAACCTTTTCCATAAGGTAATGAGTCATAACGTTTACTGTGTTTGTTTTTAATCTTTCTATCCTGCGACTTTCATAAGGTTGTTAGTGATGAAAATGAATTTTTATTTTCACTATAGGATTTTGTAGAGACTATAGAATTTACATAGTTTATAAATCACTCACTGATCTTAACTAAATCACCACTGGAAACCATTGGTTTAGTCTGGGAATCGGACCCAGGAAATTTGGTCTGTCATGTGGATGCTTAATCTCTAAGCCAATGAACCGGTATTCAGCTGTACTAATGTCTGACTTCGATCAACTTACGATATTACTCAACCATCTTCCATTGCCGGGGGTGAATATCTATCTCACCCATGATTGAACTCTACTAGTAATGGCTTCTCACTAAAACCCTGAGAATTGAACCTTGAATCCGGTCGCTAGTAGGCACTTGATCATTGTCAATACAGGATTTTATTGAATTAGTACGTTTTTAAGGGTTTTCAAATCATGAATTTGCAGTAAGTACAAATCCTTAACCGAAAGTCGACCCAATACTTGGTTTGACGTCATCATGAAAGTTAGTGATACTGCTATGGTGCCAAAAAATGAAATATGAGAATAGAGGTTCGAACCTGAAAATTTATTATTCAAGGTCAAATGCTTCTTCAACCATTAACCCATCACTCCTTAGAAAAATATGAACAATGATATTGCCTTTTTATTGTAACGGTGCAAAATTTTCTATCAGTGTTGGAACACACCATTGAAACTTCTAAACCGCACAGAATTACGTACATTAGTCATCTAAAGTTTCCTGTTCATCGGTTTTTGTCATCATTCGTCACTTTTAGTCTTCTGGGAACTGATATTTTCTATGGTTTAATTACTAAGCTGAAAATTATAACATTTTCTTACAAAAATTAAAAATAAGGTTTATAATTCAAATATTTTATTACATATAAATTGACATGACACCATTTTCAACAAGAATCTTTTCTTTTCTATTTGAATTAGATTGGCAGCAGATGCACTGTCATCAGTATCGGAAAGTGAACAAAGTCTCATTCATTTAACTGATAATCCACTTCCCAATCCACATTTTGAATCAGTTAAAAAAGGAGAAATTATCATTCAAAATGCTGATAACACTAATAAATATTTGCATAGTATTAAACGTGTACATAAACTAATTGAAGATGAATTAATGATGGAATATGATATGAATAGTACTAATACAACAACTACTACAACTACAACAAAGACAGCATCAATCAATACCATTACTGATAATGACAATGATGATGAAATTAGTCGAGGCAATAAATTCTCACGATATCATGAAAAGGAGGAATTTTGTACACCATGTTATATTCATCAAACTAAGAAAGATATTATTACAAAGAGTACTAATAAACGGTCAATTTTAACAACAAAAAATTACTCTACAACAACTGGTCTATTATATGATTTACTATCGGGTACAGAAAACTTCGATTCAGTTTATATGAGGAGTCAGTTAGTGTTTTTGACATGTGATAATGCGAAATCAATAACTAATCTTAAAAAAGATAACTTTCTTAGTCGACGCAAAATCAATAATTCATCATCTGTTCAAAGGAGACGTAAATCAATTAAACCAAAGAAGCACTGTCATAGTTTACAAACTTTAGAAACTTCCATCAGTAATGGTAGAAAACTTTTCCAGGACAATCTGTTAGGCGAGAAGTTGTCATCGTCTTCTCCATTATCATCATCATCTTTATCATCATCACCTTCATCTTCATCATCTTCGTCTACATTGAGCCCTGCACATATTAATTTGTTAACACATTCCCAGTTATCTCCAACGAAGTTATTTGATAGATTTGAATACTTAAAAAACAACCACGCTCTACATTCCCAGTCACCTATTAATCATTTTCCTACTGTGCATACTGCTAATCTCACTACCGCTACAACTTCTACAACTATGAATAGTCAAGAATGTTCTGAACAACCACTTGATTTATCTTCAGCTTCCTCTCATTCCAATCAATCAGGTTTACTCAATAACTTTAAATGTAATATTCCTACCTCAGATATCAAAACCTCAAAAAGAAGGAGGAGTTTTGCCGGTGATTTAGATTACACTTCACGATTTTTTGACAATTCAAGTATTCTACGATGTAATAGTTTAAGACATAATTCAGTTACATTCCCTTTGTCTCATACTGTAAGCAAATTTAGGAATTGTATTACTTCTAGTACCAATGTTACTGGTAGTACTACCATTAATACTATCAGTAATAGTAATTTAAGACCTGAACGTCAGCCATCAGAAGAATTTATTCGTAAAGATATTGAACAAAAACTACATAAGAATAATCTGAATAATACATCGAACAATGAATCAACCTTACTAGGAGCCAACTTACTTAACTTAATTCTATCTCCAGCATGTTATCAAATTGCTTTATCCGCTGCATTCGCCTTATGTGCATCTTCCGTTTTTCCGTCTTTTGATAATACAATATATCGAAATAATGATTTTTCAAATTCATGTAATAGCCTTAAGACAACAAGTGAATTAGCCTGTAATCTATGGACATTATCGAATTCCAATCGAATTACTTCTAGTGAACAAATGAATGAAAATAATCAACAATATTTATCAAAGTCAAATCAATCATCATCAAGATTATCAGACGAGAAACATGATAATATTTCAAAACCTGTACATATACAACATTCATCATCAATTCAATCCAAGCTCAATGTAAAACTTAATTCATTGACAAAATTAAAAACCGGTGAAAGTGTACCATCTAAAAAATCCATTTTAAAATTACACTTCTTTCCAAAAAACACTCAACATAATCATCAAACAAAACTTTTGAAGAAAAAAACAAACTCTTCACATAGTCGAACATTGTATCAACATTCCAGTAAAAACAACAACAACAAAATCAATAATGCTGTTACACATACAGCTGATGATGATGATGATGATGATAATGATGAGGATGTGATCAATGCACAACATTCCTTTATTACTCCATCTATTAAAATTTCCAGTCAAAATCTAACCTTTTACAATAAATTAAAACAGTGGTTTAGACAAATGATTCATTTAATTGAACAACCAAAATTAGCAATAATCTCTTTATTACATAATAATATTAGACATGATTTAACAACGACAAATTTATTCGATTCATTCAATGAATATCTATTAGATCAGTCGATTGATACAAGATTAGAACTTTTAAACATATCATGGTATCGGTTATTGATAGTTTATTTAATTGAACATGAACAATTGAATTCACTCATGACAACATTTTCATCATCGTCACCATCACCATCATCATCATCATCATCGCCATCGTCTACGTCATTGTCACCAGTGAATGATAAGAGTAAATTTAATGGGGAGAAATTAATAATTAAGAAAAAATTTCGAATCGGTAAATCGATAAAATCAAAGAAGAAATATGTTGAAATGATCAGTGCATTTCATGATATTCAATCAATAGCAACAATATGTTATTCACTGAAATTTACTCATTCAGTTTACAGTCTGATTCGAATTGGTTTATTAATATTAGGTCAGTTATATATATATATATATATATATATATATATATATATATATATATATATATATATATGCTTTTAAAATAAACTATGACTGATACAATTTTCAATAGTTGAGATCATGAGTGAACTGAAGCTAAACCACCATAGAAAACCTGGAAGCACTGAACGACCACAATGAGACAAAACGGCCGTCCAATGCTTCCAGGTTTTCCATGGTGATCTAACATCAATCGGTTCATGATCTCAATCAAAAACTTAACAATCTCCACAACCCGGAAACTGATAAATAAATAGTTGATCAACTTAACCTACTTATATATTTATCATTGATAATATTAACATTTACTATGTACGCATACAAACAATCATAAATTTGATTAGTACATTTATCCATCAGACATCTTTCTATGTATTAGAATTGTTAGACAGAGAAATGACCCAGACCTTGTTATACTGTTACTAGCTTATAATCTATTTGAATACAAGTCATTTTATATAGGTAGTGTATAATTCCCTTCTTCATTTAAGGATTCTTCTTAAGTGAATCGAGACTATGAAAACAATTTGATTGTATCTAATTGTTAATTAATCTATATTGTTTTGATCTCATTGTGACGACGTAACAATTGTCAGTAAGCGAGTAAATACCTTATTGAAGAAAAGCATTTTACATTTTCTATGAATGTGTCTCAGATAACGGCAAATAGATATCAATATTTTGTCATAATAATAATAATAATAATAATAATAATTATTATTATTATTATTATTATTATTATTATTAGTAGTAGTAGTAGTAGTAGTATTACTATTATTTTGATTTGACGTAATAAGGAATCTCTTGGATTGGTTGAGGTTAGACGTTAACACCATTGGATGCCGGCTCAGTGGTTCAGTAGGTTAAGCGTTCGTGCGCGAGACTGAAGTCCCTGGGTTTGAATCCCGCGAGCGGGATCGTGGATGCGCACTACTAAGGAGTCCCACAATAGGACGAAACGGCCTTTCAGTGCTTCCAGGTTTTCATTGGTGGTCTAACATCACTCGGTTCATGATCTCAATCAAAAGAATTTAGAATTGACGAATGTATTTTACTTGTCAAATTATTTGTTTAGAATTCCGTAATCATATTAAAATAGGAAAGATTATTATTGTTATGTAAAAGCTTTTCTCATTTATTTCAGCTATAAATATTGATCTATATGTCAAAAGATAATTAAGTAATTGACTTGTAATTAACAAACTGCTGATTAAGTTACATAATAAAGCAACTTATTATAGACTTGAAAGCAACCTATCTCTATTGTTTTCATTTTAGGATTATTCACAAGTGCTCCCCCCTATCATTTTATACAGGATAATCGGTTCTTGTTGTGAACGTGATACAATTAAATCACTGAGTTGAAATATGATGGTCTTTTATTACAATTCCAGTTTTGAATTTAGAGCTATCATTATACTATACTATAAGTACATAACTGAACCTCTTTTACTATACTCGATTCCTCAAGTCACGGCTTTTTACTGGAACTATTCAAGAGTTCTAAAACTAGGACGAAGTACCTGGGTGGCTGTCATCCGTTTTTTTAATAGTTCTTCAGTCAACCCTCATTTAGATAACTATTCAGTATGATATTTCCATATGACAGTTGAGTGACTGCTGTGTTTTTGCTAAGTATTTTCTAGTTCATTGTAATTTAGTGGTTTGGGTAACTTACCTTAAGTTATGACGTTTATAAATTTTGAGAATTTTATCAACCAACTTCATAAATCTAATTCTAACTGGATTATGTTTTCATCAAGTGTAGGCGTATGAAATGTTGATTTTAATTGCATTAGATCTTTGTAGCAAGTAAAACTGGAAATTTGGCAGACACATTAAGAATCCGAGTCAACAGAAATTGTTGTACACACAAATGTTAATCCACAAGTAGCGTTGTGTGCACTACTTGTAGAAACATATATAAGTAGTATGTTTAGGAGTTGAAAGTAGAATGCTCATGGATAAAAGAGGAAAGTGAGGAGAAAAAAGAAGACAGAAAGCAATCAAAATGTAGACATAAACAAAGGAACGATTAAGTTTGTAAGGGACAACTTAGGGAAGATGGGCAAATAGCGTATTCAATGTATTGTTTTCATACTTTACAAATATACTGTGTGATCTTACACGCTGATTGAGGGTTCGGTCATTACAGTGGCATTTAAGCAATTTTGTTTCATTAGTGTTAGAATTCTAGTCCGTTTTAATTTTCAGTTATGGAAAATCAGCTTTTCGTGTAGAAAACTGAGTAGTCTCAAATTCAAACAGTAATGGGAAGGATTTGAGCATTTTACAAATGACACGTTAACTATTTATAATTGATTTCTTAGGTTAGTAATTTTGGTATTACAAAGTCGCCAAGTTGATTTACGAAAAAAATTATGCTTCATTTCCTAATGTAATTATATGTTATTTTTAATTTTGACATTTCTGTTATGTGTTTTTCTGATTGTCAAGGCAATTATCAAAAAACGCAATCTATCAATGATATCCATTGGTTGGAACAAACACTTCTAGAATATATAGTCACACCAGAAGGAACCAATGAAAAATCTAATTCCAGTCCAAACTCATCACCACAGAGGTGTCAGACAATGAGTACCAATCTTTCTGATAACTTTAATACTACTACAACTACTACTCGTACTGATGTGTTCAACTGTATCAATATTGGTAACAGTAACAGTAATAGTAGTAGTAGTAGTAACAATGTCAGTAGCAGTGTTATTCCTATTGATGCACCATCCATGATACATACATTAATTGATAAACTATTGAATATAACTAAAGAGTCAATTATTTTCTTTGTATCTAATCAATTAGGTGATTCAGTTGAAGATTTATTCAACAGTCTTGTCAAAATCTCACAAACATAATTCCAATGTTCTAAAACAACGTTTTTTTTGTTTTGTGTTTTTTTTGTCTATTTTTTTCTTTTCATCGATACTTTATCTTCAATTTGTTTTCGATTGTTTATAAGTGCTATTATCATTACTATTATTATTACTACTACCATTATTGTTAATTACCTAATATATGATCTTTTTGTTTAACTGAATGCGCCCCGAGTAAATTGAACACATTGAATATATTATTATTATTATCATTATTATTCATCACTATATCTACTAATAAATGAATAATTGAATTGTTAATTCTACCTCATAAAGAATGACAATTTATTTTTGACTTATCTAGTTATAACTAATGTTCCATTTGTTTCATGTTTTCAATTATTTTCTATCGTTTTCTCTTATTCACCAGCTTTTTTCCCTCCCTCCCTCCCTCCCTCCCTCCCTCTCTCACTCTCATAAAACTACATCCTTTTCTATAATTGTTTATTCGCTTATTCTTTTTTTTCTAACATAATTCCAATCGTTAGTTTATCTTGGAAACTGATTGCAGAAATATTGTTGAAATAGTCCTCTGTAATGCATCACATGACAAAATTACTTTTCAAACGATGGTTACTTTATTATTATTATTATTATTATTATTATTATTATTATTATTATTATTTTACCCTTGTTTTCTCCAGTTTCCCATAGGGTTGTTACGATTTTTCATTGTTGTTTTTGTTGTTTAAATCAATTTATACGCATAGTTGGTTTGCAATACATTCAATCTCATAATTTCACTATTCTATCTCCCTTTCTTCCTCTTCTTATCATTATTATTATTACTGTCGATAATGCCGGTGAAATTATTATTTAAAAAAAAAAACACAGCACAACTGAAATAAATATTTACTTGATAATAATAATAATGACTGTAGTAAATACAATTTTCGACCCCTCGTGAATGGATATTGATTTGTTGGACAATTTTTTTTCCTTGTTCGTCATTATTATTTATTTCGTCTGTAATCACTCTTGTTAATTATTTTTCTTTCACTATTTCTGTCTCTATGAAAATATCGCCTCTCCTTTATTGGGTTGTCCTAAATACTATTATTTGTTGGATCAAAGTAGTAACAAGTTGATAAAGGTTGAGCATCTTGTCGTGTGTGTGTGTGGTTGGTTGGTTTCTGAATTTTTTTATAAACATTAAAAGAAATCTTGTCTCTTCGTTGTTTTCTTTCTCAGCATACGACTGTTTGTTTATCCTATCTTCCAAATCTTTATTTGTTTAGAGTTTTTTGTGCTCACCATACTTTGTTATTTCTCTTTTTCATTAATTATTGTTTTTTGGTTGGGTACAGAGATGGGGTAATAAAAAGTTTCAAAAAAAAACTGGATAATCTTGAATTGTTAGTGTTCTTATATGAGGATAGAAAAAGATTTAAGTTAGCCTGTCGTTGATATTCAGAACTAAATTTTGATCAGTTTCTGTTGGCATATGCGTAACATGAGTGGATTACCTTGATATAGCCATTATGTCGGAAGATTTCTACAGAATAAATGTAATGTAACTAACAGTGAATTACCAACAGCAAGGTGACTCAAATTCTGCCTTCTAACAATGTAAATAGTATGTCTGTTTGAGCTATTGTCTAGGTAGATTGGGTAGCCCAACGGATAACTTCGTTGGCGTTTGAAACCAAAGATACTAGTTTCGATTACTGATGTAGACAAAAACACTGAGATTCAGATATATCCAGCTGATGAGTCTCAAATGGGACTAGATTCCTGCTCTGTGTGCTGATACTAGCCACAATCTATTTGTTCTTGAAAACTTTTTTGAACATCTTTAATTATTCGACAATGGCGTACATATTATCAAATTGAAAAGCAATTTTAAATACGTAGAATATTTTTAAAAAGCTTCTAAATAACTGGTGGGCATGACTTATGTAAGAATCAGCACAATTCCAGTAGATAGTGAAGAAGATTTGTGGCTCAGGTGGATGATTTTGATGGAGCTTAGAGAATAAAACTATTAAAAACAATTCTAATGGGTTTTATATTGATGTGTTGACCATTTAGGGACTATTTTAAAAGTTGAACTATTTACAATAATGTACAGGAAATTGTTTAACAATGTTTCATATTATTTAGTACTCAATCATTAACAAGACTTATCTCCATTGTGAAGCTAGTAGAATACGAATGTAAATCGGGCAACATGCAAATATATAGAATACTGAAATATTTACCTGTTTAATTCCATTCATGTTCTGTCAGTATAATACGCTAAAATACGAGATGAATCTATAAATGTAATGGTTGTCTATTAACTCAGTTGATAAAATCTCAACAAAGGATACACTTATTTTGATTGGCTAACTTTATAGTTTTATAACCCTCTAATTATTCGAATATAATCGTTTTTTGAATTTCATTTCATGATAAAGTATTATGTCCACATATTAGAAGCTATAAAAGATACTAAAGAATTTAGTTAACTTTTTCTAGAGGATTCCGATATCCTACAAAAGTACATGATCAAACTGAGTAAAAGATGTAATCGAAAACAATGTTCGATATACCCGTTTCAACAATGAACTTCTCGTAACCATTAACATCGTATATGATATAATTCTTAGGTATCCATTTAACAAGGCATACTTTGTATTAAGGAATATGTATATATTAAAGATGCCATAAAGTAAGCATGAATATTGGAGATTAAAATGGGTTTTAAACTATGGACTAATCTTAGCTAGACCACTATATGAAATCTGGAACCACTGAACGACTGTTTATCCTAAGCAGTGTTACCTATGACCATTCAACTAGAAGTCGAACTTGGGATCTCTGGCCTCGCACAAGAACGCTCAACCTCAACCGCTGAGACGGTGTCGCGAAATGTCCCGAACTGACGGAATTTAGGCATTAAATTCTCTGGTTACCGGCTTATTGATCTACAGGTTAAGGGTTTACGCTCAATACTGAATGTGCTGTGTTTGATTCTCGGATGCAAGACTGTAGATGCACACTGCTAAAGAATACTACACTACGATAAAATGGTCATCCTATGCTTCCACGTTTTCAATCGTGATTTAGCTAAGATCACTCTAATTTAAAAACGAAAAATTCTATTATCTCAACAAACCGCCATACTGATAATTCCTGAATAGCAGTTTAAATCGAATCACCAGGGAGTTGAGTATGATCATTTAGATTCTAATTTATGCAGCTTAATATTTTAAGAGCCATATTAATAACGCTTACTAAATGTCAAAACAGGATATAAAGTTGTGAAATATGTATATTTGTTAGTAATAATACATGGTTAGCGTTTTTTTAGCGAGTTAGTTTTCTACAGGATGGGGTCGCTAACCCCATGCCAAACCCCCTCCTTTATCCGGGCTTGGGACCGGCAGTAGCCCCCGGAGGGACTCCAGGCGGAGTTAGTGATACATGACTTGAGTAAATACTCCATTACTGATCAACATTGAGTGAATATGAATTTTTAAGAAGACCAGTTATTATATTGTAGTCACTTATATAAGAAATTATTTTGAACTGAGGAATTAACAATGCAATTAAATTAAAACAATCCCAATGTTTATCACTGATTCTTTTTTCTAGTAACCACCATTTTTTGAAAAAAATTCATATATCACTATGGTGAGTTTGTCAAAGCATTCAATTAACTTACTAGCTACAAAGTTGTCAGTCCATTAGAAATGAACTGAGAAAGTTCAAAGGAAACACTTGTAGATACATGTTCTTTTTTTTTCTATTGCATTTGATTTCATTGATATCATGACAAACAACATCATACTTTAATAATAGTGTAATTACAATTGAATTTGTATTATATTGAAATACATTATAACAAAATAGATTTCATAAAGAAATATATATATGTCAAATAATTCTTGTAGAACACAAGAGACAAAGTGTATGTATGTGTGTGTGTGAGTGAGTGAGCGAGCGAGCGAGCGAGTGTCAGAGAGTGTGTGTGTGTGCGAGTGAGTGAGAGAGAGAGAGAGAAAGGAAGATAGAAACAATGAAAGGGAGTAATATGAAATTCATTCATCGCTATAATTGTTTATTCATGTTTATTCTTAGTTTCAGGCTATTTAATATTAAATGCTTGAATATTAGAACAAAATAAATAATTCACATCAACATTTATTGTCATGTAAAATTAAATTGTCAATTCTTTCATTTCTGATGAATTGACATACAACACTATGGACAATAATAATAATTGTCCTTATTATTTTTCATAAGACTAAATTGGATCTTCTTTTAATTCAACTTTCATACTTAATTAATGATATAGTAATCAAATGTTCAGACATTTTTACAGGGTATATTTACCATAAGAAACAGTTGAAAGTGAATGCCTAGAAAGAGAGAGATGTTATTTGGTACCATTCATGAAGTCAGTTCTTATTGTTAATTCATATGTATATGGATTTATATTAAATCAATCTGTAGTTGAGATTAGTTGTTTATCAGTTGAAGAGGGGGGACCGAAAGGACGTATAGTACGTCGGCGGCCTGCTTGAATATCTGAACTACCTGTTTCTGCTATCAGGATATTTCAACAAGTTATCCGTTTTCTTGTTTGTTTTAATACATCATAATGTCTGTTGAGTGTACAACCTATTCAGGTGCGTTTATGAAAAAGTTGACGACATTTCGCTGTACAGATTATAAAAAGGTACAATCAGAGACATCATGGTGATTGACAATATGCATTGAAAAGAACAAACATTATTCAGATGTCGATTACAGAACTGCTAACATCTAACTGGAGATCACTCACTATTTATCGTCAGGATCGATCAAGAAATAACAAACGGAAACTTGTTGAAATACTTTGCGGTGAGAATTCTATATTGTACCAAAAATGTAATATCGAATAAAGCTAATAATAGTAATCGATCAGTCAGTAATAAACAGTTCAGGATCTAAGTCAAATGTGCGCCAGTCTTAGCTGCCTCGGTCTATCAACAGGCGAAATGAAACGAATAAAATAAATATCAAATGAGCCAAAATAGTAGTAGTAGTAGTCGCGCAGTGAACAATAATACAGGCGAGAACAACCATATGTAATCTAATACATTACAGAATATCTTAGTAAGATCTGAGAACCATACAGTAAATAATTCATTTGCAAAATATCAATCGATTGTATCACACATTGTTGTTCCTTCGTTTCCATACCGATCATTTTCTCTTATCGTTCTCTTCCCTTCGATTTTCTCAACCTTCTGTCTCCAGGCATTCAACTTTTGATCGATGATAGATACTACTCAAATCTGTCGACATCAGTAGCACATACGACAGTAATAGCATACCGACTATGGTTAATGAAGTCAATGTGAATTCATAGAGAAAAACTATGAAAAAAATGTTTAAAGTTAAAGTTCTGAAGAAGATTAATGAGGAATGTATCTGGACTACTGGTACCGGCTTTGCGTCACGTCATCTACCATCATTTCAATCTAGTCAATGTAAAGGATTTATATAATATTAACTGTCCAACTCGTGGCTTTAAATTCCATTTTCGATTTATGTAATACTTCATACAGTAATCAATACGGTATCTTATTCTATCATGTAAATAATTACTTGTGTAGGTCTATCCACAATTTTGTGTTAGATCAATAGTATTCAAGTGTGAAGCAAAGCATTACATGAAACTTCAATCAAGTGAATCTACAAATGATGTGTCTTAAAATAAATGAAAAATGACCAGATTGAAGTAAAGTTAATGACAAAACAGAAGTTAATACAGTGGAAAAGTCAAATTGTTTTCTACTTCAAAGTTACTGAGACTAGTGTAATTGATTATTCATTATCTACAAGAAAACATAAATCTTGCATATATGACACATATGTCTGATCTTGAGAAATTATTTATACTCTCAAACTGTGAAAACTTATTCATCTTGACAAATACTATGTTTTGTTGTACAGAAATGTTAACAGCTTACTTCTTTTGGATGTATTTGATGTAATTTTATTTTCGTAAGACATTGAAAACTTCACAACTAAACCGTTC